TTTTTTGTAAATCAACATTAAATGAAAATACAATTATTAAAAATTTAGATATTAACAATAACTTTGAATACTTTTAGTTAATTAACAACAAATTTTGATTATTAATTTATTATTAATTAATAGTAAATAAAATTATTAAATCATTCAGATTTTCCCATGCATCACACGGGTCCCTGCTAGTTAATAATTATAACACGTGAGGAGTATGAGAAGTTTCATCTTTCCACTTCTTCCAATACTAATTCCATCCGTACTAAATCAAGTATAGTTGGTCTAGTTCTTGTTTACARTCTACATCTTGAGTAATAGATTCTAGAACTTCAAACCATATGACTTGATCTTCAAAGTTGTTTATGGCATTGTCTCCTCAAACATGACAAGCACTAGGCATTTTAGGGATCAATACGATGAAAGTTACATTAACACCCATATTAATAAAATCCCTATGAAAGAACTCCTGAAACATTTTCATTAGATCTCCTTTTAACCACTCCCAACAATCTTGGTGGAAAGCCATGATAAAACCATTAGGGCCTGGTGCCTTAGAACGATCCACAGAAGAGATTGCATTCTTTACCTCTTTCTCATCAAAACCTCTCTCCAAATCTCTACTCAAAAGTACTTTACAGTGTTGGCCATTCCATTCCCTCTAGCTTCCATCTCCTTATTACTGGTTTCTTATAGATTGATTTAAAATGATCCACAAGGGCGTTTGCAATATCTTCTTCTTGAGTAAGTATTTCATCCTTCAATTCCAACATCAATATAAAATTTTTCCTTTTTCCTTCCATTTTCTATCCTATGAAACTATTTTGTATGCCCATCTCCTTCTTTGATACATCTCACACTTGATTTTTGCTTACAAGATATCTCCWCCCTCAAAAGTGTAACTTCCAATTCTATTTTTTCAAGTTTAATCTCTCCTCTGGTTCCTTTCCCAACACTTGTCCTTGCTCTTCCTTTCTGTCAATTTCTTCAATTTGGCTTATCAAGGAATTTAATCCCTTCCCAATCAGCCCGAGGAACATCCTTCCCACTAGTCTCTAATCTTTTACACAAACTCCGAGGAGGTAAGCCACATGTTCTCAAACCTAAAAGAGGTCAAACCTCCTCCATTTGCTTCTTGACAAAGACAAATTGGCCAATGATCCAAAGTCAGTCTAGGGAGGACTCTACCTACCAATTGATCCCAATGCTCCATCTAGTCTGAAGAGGATAGAAATCTATCCAATCTAAACAAATAGGATTCTCCTAACAATTAGGCCAAGTAAATTTATTTTGTCCAATCAAAAATTCCTTAAGCTCCAAGGTTTCTATTAATCTATTAAATCTCTTCATACTAGTTATTAGTTCTTGTTTGGGATTATTCTACTCATCTATATATCTAATCACATTGAAATCACCTCCCAAACATCACAGACCTTTCCAATGACCTCTTATACTTACCAATTGAAGGGATGGGARATCCATCATATGGATGGCCGAACCCTGCAAGAAGGTTGGGCGAAATTTCAAAAAATTCTCTCTCCCATCCGGGAATCGTATTCCCTAATTTAGAAAACTGTACTTTCAAGGTTCGTTCTTGAAACAAAAACGGACCAGATCTGAAACCAAAAGGAAAGTGAGGAATATACCTGATACAAAATAACAGTAACTCCCAACGTAGGTGTTCACGCCCAAAAAGAAGACCAAAACCCACCTCCACTGAATATGACACAGTATATGATGAAGCAGGATCAGCAGGATGGTTCTTCAGCAAGAACCTGAATTCTTCAAAAAGAATC